TTTAAATAATGGTTCTATTAAAATTATATTGATCATAAATATATAAATTTATTTAAATAACTATTTAAATTTTCACCTAAAAAATGAAAATAAAACTACCTATGGCATTTAAGAAAATTTAAATTTGATTTAAAAACCTAACTAAACATAACATAAAAAATAATTTCCTAATTATATCCTATTTTTGTAACAATAAACTAAATATAAATATATACTCATTATAACTCTAAAATATAAAATAACTTTTTTTAAAACCTAAGTAACTAAAAAAGAACAGAATTTTAAAACCTAAAATACAAAACCTAACTATTTATAAGAATAATAAATATGTAACTATAATTCCTTTAAAAACCCCTTTGATAACGTAATTGGGAAAAGAGAATCCTCGGAAAAAAAAAACGAAAAAATAACAAAATAAATATAAATGAACTTAAACTGAAACCTAAGAATTGAAAATTTGGATAGATTTTAAAAAATTTTAAAAAAAAAAATTTAAACTAAATTTTTAAAAAATTCTTTTATTGATAAATTGAATGAAAAAATAATTATTTATATTTTTTATAACTTAAATTTTATTTATAAAAATAAATATAAAAATTAATTTTCCCAACTGTAAATTTTTACCCAATAGCAATTTTTCAAATATGACGATATAACAAATATGAGTCCAAAATGAACGATTTTCTAAATTTTTCTCATAAATAATTTAAGGTTAAAAAAAACCTTAAAAAAAAAAATATAATTTCTATATAATAAATGGTTCTAAAAATATATATTTGTACATTGTCAAAATGGCAAAAAAAATAAATAATATAATGTTTTTGTGTAACATTTTGGCGAAAATTTGATGGTTTTAAACCCTTTAGCAAAAAATTAAATGGCAATATGATCTGGGTTTAAAATAAATTTGAATAAATGAAAAAATCAATTTTTTTAAAATTTCAAAATTTAACTATAACGTTATAAAAAAGATATTTTGAAAAAAAAAATGCAATGGTGCATGATTATTAATATTTTTAATTCGATGTATGAAAACCACAAAATTATTGATCATTGATTTTGGTCCTGTTAAAATAAACAAACCAGAAAATGAAACTGATCTTCATCAACATAATGAAGGCCTTGGTGAAATTTGAAAACATGATCTTAATTGCTTGAAAAGATATTTTATTTTGAACATCTCAAGAATGGGCAAATAGTTGACAAAAAAAAATATAAAAATATGCATGTTTTAAGACAATAGATTTTTATATATATTTATTAAGCAATTTTATTTAATGATTATTTTTTCTTTTCAAAATTTGCTTGAAATAATTTGGAAAAAGCATTTATTATTTTAAAAATAAAAAAGTAAATTCTTTCCGTAAATAACACATCTATTTCTATGGCAATTGTTTACTTGCATATGCGTACCACACTTTGTTCAAAAATTATATTTATATTTGAACACCATTTAAAATGTTTTATATGTGCCAAATCCAATCAATGAGTTTTACGGCATTTTACATTCTATTATTTTCAAAAATAATTTTTGTCTAAATTAAAGTATATATATAATAAATTTTACATTAAAGGGATATTTTAGAACAAGCATTAATTTATATTTTTCAATTTTTTATAAAAAGTATATGGATATATATTTACTATGATATTTTAGAACAGGATTTTAAAAAAATTCATTTTGGAAAATTTTAAAATAAAAGTTGCCTGATTTTTAAGAGATTTTGAAACTGAATTATAAAAACTATTTCTCGTTGGACTCCTTTTTCTAAAATTTTAAAGACTTTTAAAAACTTTTTATTTCTATTAATGTGGTTTATATTATTGTATATATTACTATATAAAATATATTGTATAGGTATATATTCTTGAATTGTATAAATATGCATATTCTATTGGCACACTGAATGAAAAAACCCTAAGTCATATCAATAAAAAGGTTTTAAATTTTTGTTTTTTACTAAAGTATATATACTATATATTACTATATAAAATATATTGTAATTATGGTAGACCATGATAAGATAAAAAAATTCCTATGCTGTTGGCGCACTGAATGGTTTAAAACCTAAACCTTTAAAATGAATATAAACCCTGGTCTAATAAATTAAGAAGTTCGTCACTTAGTGTTAAAATATTTTTTTTAAATTTTCACCCTGTACAAGGCCATGGGATCATTCGAGATAAAAAATACAGAGAAGAGGTCATTATGGATATATGAAAGGGAAGAAACGAATAACCCTAGACTTGAAAAGGTTAAAATTTTAGTGACCAGGGAAAAATGATCTTGAGAGTCGGTTACACAGAACAGTGGTTTGCGAGAAAAAGCTGTTCGAGTGGAACTTATGCCTCACTAATTCAATAAATACATTAATTGATTGTGTTTTTCAAATTTCAAATATGGAATATCATTTTGTAAAATATATAAAAAGTTTGTGATAATGGTAAAAAAAATAAAAAACTCATAAATTCTGCAATATGTCATTTGTTTTGTAGGTTAGAAGAGCATCAACATTGGAAGCCATAGTGATTGATTTTTTAATTGTTTTGAGAGGATGAGTTCTATTGAGAAAATGATTGCTCTGATGCCCTAAGCGTTTTTTATGCTCCCCAGGGGCAGAAGACATAGGTTTTATGCGTAAACAAATAGATTGTTGAAAATCACATTTTTGTTTAGTGAAGAGAGCATGCTAATATTTGCGTAGTAATACCATTTGTAAGTTTAACGTGCAATAAATGTAGGCATGTAATTGTTGAGACAAAATGAATAATTTGAAATGGGATGGAAATGTCCCAATACTCTCTCTCTCTATATATATATATATATATATATATATATATATATATATATATATATATATATATATTTAACATCAAACACTAATAATTATTCCATGGTTATAATTTATTTCATTGGAATCTTAATCATGATCCAATCAATCAGTCCTACAAATTCAAAAATTGAATTTGTATGCCTGATGAATTGGATCGTGATAAAGACATTTTTTATGTTTATACATTCTTTTTATAGATACAAATATTTAAGTAAATGTTCTGTTTATAATAAACAGTATTAACAACATTTATCGGCCTGAATGTCCGAGAAATCTACACAGAAAATATTCGTCCTCCGACAAGAATCGAACCTGTATCCTATACAGAATCGTCATATAGCCTGACGTGCTTTTACCGATTGAGGAGCGTTTCGGTTAACAAGGTCGATTTTACTGTTTTTAAACTACAATCTTCCATGATTCTCTCACGTACATTCATATCTGCTCGATGTGTATCCAAATGTAAACAAATGACGTCACACATTATAAAATGGACCAGGTCCGACAATATATGTATATACTAGCAGCATGGCCCGGCGTTGCCCGTGTGTTATACTAGAACATACCTATTCTATTGTAAATAGACTCTCCCACAGATAATAAGTAGTAGTAGTAGCAGTCGCCAGGGGGCTCAGTGGAGTTGGTGTGTCAGTCGATGTCGGACATTAAAGTACCAACCACGACAACTAGATTGTTGCGTCATTAACTATTATTTCAAGTTCCTAACGTTTTGTACGTCGGACCCTTTTTTAGGACCGACTTAGTGAAATACAAGCCTCCACTGTGAAAAATGGCTCTACAACACGTGCTTGATTCAAAATCGTACGACTCATATAGCAATCGCTATCACTTGACTTAAAATATTTTTTTGCCCTTCCTTGCCTTTTTTAAAGGAGTGCCCTTTTGCCGTGCTGATGTTGCTACATGCCTTACTTCTTGTCTATCTCACACTGCAAATTTTTCTAAGCTCTATACTAAACATTAAATCTGTTACGAAAAAAAGAACTAAACAAAATGAACACAAAACGATCAGCTTTAAAAAAAAGGACTCGTAACTGGAAAAACCGAATGAAAAAAGAATGTTAACAATAAATATTTTTTTCACCCAACCCAGTTCTGCGGAATCAGAATCAACGTTGAGTTTAAGCAAGCGAATGAGCCAATTGGAGTAAAGTGACATGCAGATTTAAATTTTTCCCACTTGTGACGAATGCAGTTATCGATTTTTTTCTTTTTGCATGCTAGCATGCTAGTTAACATTCGTGTCAGTCAGCTGTTGGCTCTCACGCTGGCCAATAGAATCTTCCTGCCTATTCGTGGCAACCAGCTATAGGCTCTCTCATTCTGTCCAGTACAAAATGGTCGCAAACTACATGAAAAGTGCCGTAGAAGCATGAAAAAATTGATTATTTCCAATATCGATGGGGGTTGGGAAATGCAAAGTCGGTCTTGGCCTTTCCGCTAACTTGGAGCATGTGCATATAAATTTTGGTGCAAATCCGTCGAAAATTGCGGCCGTGCATTCGTCACACACACACACACACACATACACATCCTGCCTTTTATATATATATATATATATATAAAGATAGATAATCCAAGAAGATTCACACCTTTCCCAAATTGCATTAGAATAAATTTGAATGTAATTAATTCGACTAAATTCGAACTCAACCTTAATTCCGAATCAAAACGCTATCCATTACTATTCATTTATTATTATGATAATTGTAGAATAATTTTCATTTTCAGTTTTTTATTTCAAGATAAATCTTAATTATATAATATTTCTTTTTATTATTAAGACCTCCAATTTTTTGATTACTGAAAAATAATCTGTATTGTTGTCTTATGTCAAATGGTCTATTAAGGGGTCCTTCAAGAAAAAAAAAGATTGAGGGAAATATGGAAAATGGATAAAAGGTTGAGAACCACTGTTTTAAAGCTATTATTATTTAAAATAAATGAATCCATATTAAATAAAATATCATTCGCCATATGATAAAAATACCTTTATCTTTGCATATGAAATAATTAATGTACGTATTGATTTTCAAAATTATGATAATAAGAAATAAAACTCAGGGAATATTTAATTCATTAAAATGCATCGGTTTCCGGATACCCGCAATATAAAATCTAATTTTCAGTGGCTCTTTGAAAAGGATGTTCTTCTTGGTCAAGTTGAGAACTTTTTCACACACAGGTTTACATAGATATTTTCCTAATTCAAAAGTTTAACAGTCTGCATTTTTTTCTGTTTTCTTTCCTACATATATCAATCTCAGTCTGTTACTATCTATCTATCTATCTATCTATCTATCTATCTATCATTCTTTCTATCTTTCTCTCATCTGTATCAGTGATATCTCATTTTTCATCTATCTATCTATCTATCTATCTATCTATCTATCTATTTACCTGTCTGTCTCAATCCGTTCCTCATCTATCTATAGGTCTAATTCAGTTCTTATTTATCTATTAATCTATATGTCTATCTATCTCAGTCTCATTCCTTATCTATCTATCTATCTATCTATCTATCTATCAATACATCTACCTATCTCACTATCTTCTTTCTTCTATCTATCTATCTATCTATCTATCTATCTATCTATCGATCTATCATCTTCCTATCTGTCTCTATATATCTCTGTCATTTTCTCTTTGCCTATCTATTATTGTCTATTCATACCTATATAGCTCGCTAGCTAGCTATCATTGTCTATTTATATCTATCTGCCTATATATCAATCTAACATTATCTATTCATATCTTTCATTGTCAATTTAAATTTATCCTTGTCAATTTTCTTTGTTTTTTTTTTATCTATTTATATCTATCTATCTATCTATCTTTATCTTTCATTATTTATATAAATTTTTATTATTATCTATGTATCATTTTTTTTCTCAATATCTATCTATCTATTATTTATAATGTTTCTATCCTATCTATCTATTATCTATCTATCATTTATTTTTTTCTTTTTATTATTTTTTATATTATTCTTCATTTTTTATTCTCTTTCTCTTCTATTTCTATCTATATATATTATATATATATATATATATATATATATATATCTTATTTATCTAAAGATTATCCATCTATCTATCATTGGCTCTCTTTATCTATCTATCTTTCTATCTATTATTGTCATTTACTTTTTTTATATGTATTTTTCTGATTCTGTCCAAAATATCTTTTTTTTATCTATCCATTTATACATGCGAAACAATTTACACATTCACGTTTTTCTATCCAATAAAAATAAAATATTTATTTTGTTTGTTTCTCGCTATTTCTTCGTTCGTGTCTTTCTATCGTTCTTTATGCGCCAGTAAAATACAAAGCAAATATTCCACACTTCACATCCGGCTTATTCCCAAAGGTGAATTTATTATTTTCAGACCTTATTTCTATCTAAAAATCCTCAATTTTACTTTTTAAAAGCAACAAAGTATTTAATCAGTTTATCCGGTCCTTAAAACAGGATGTTGTATCTGACCGATTCTTGCAAAGTATGCCGGACAATGGAAACGGAAGGTTATATTTATGGAGGAAAAATATAATCTCTGATTTTCAAATATTTTTATAATGAATGCCATTTGCCTTAGAATTTTCACTTCAATTATTAACGGATTTACGAATTTTATCGTATCATGTGTTAGCCAAATATGGGCATAATCGCCCATAAATTTTTACAAATATAAAATACATTTAGATTTATTATTCATAATTAAGATTCATCCATTCCCTCCCATTCTTTCTTTTCATTTTTTTTTTATATATTTCTCTCTGTTTTTTTCGTGGAACGAATTCTTTATTTCTTTAGCTAAAATTTGTTTAAAAACAAAACACATACACACACAATAATATTTATATTTTTATATATATATATATATATATATATATATATTTTTCAATTATAATTAATTATCTGTCCATTTAATTCTTATCTGTATCATATTTTTATCACTATATTTATCTTCTATCTATTTTATATCATCTATCTATTTTTCTTTTTGTCCATTTTTATCCATTTATCTATCTTAGTCTATTCATATCTATTTTTGTTTCATTTTATCTTTTATTTTCAGTTTTATTTTATTATCTATTTATTTTTATCTATCTATCTATATTTTAATATATATATATATATATATATATATATATATATAAGAAAAAAGTGTGTGTGCATGCATGTCAATCTTCAAATCTATTTATGTTGCTTTATCTTTTATTTTTTAGTTTGTATTTTATCTATCTATCTATCTATCTATAACATATATCTATATATATATATATATATATATATATATATATATATATACATGTTAAACAATATCTTATCATTCACAAAGATTCACATTTTATATATATATATATATATATATATATATATATATATATATATACAATTTTATATTTCTATTTCTTTTCAGACAGTAATAATCATTGTTTTATTGAAGGAAGAGCCCAAATGTCCAATGCAAGCTTATCTTGTGTGTGTGAGCTCAAGGATAGAAGATATAATTACTTTTAACAAAGATTAAATTTTTACAGCAAAATTTTTATATGGATCGCAAGGCCCTTATATTCCAAGAAAGGCAAATGAACAAGATTCAAGACGACGCAAATTTTTCCATCTAGAAAATCTATTTGCCTATTTTCAATTAACTGCATGCCTTCATCCCCTATATTTTATATATATATATATATATATATATATATATATATATATATATATATATATATAAATATATATATAACATAAAATATTGAAATTTCATCCTAGATTTCCGATCCTAAATCCTCTTTCTTTTTTGTTTTTTTTTTTTAAGTGCTCGAAACAAAGTAGATAAAAATTATAATTTTTTAAATATGATTCCATCGCCAAAAAGAAATTATTTTTCCGTTTCTTTTGATGACAATGATGTTTGGAATATCTTCAGCAACGAATTAAAAATTTATTCCAAACATCGTTTTTAGGGGGAAACTGTCATCCAAAAGTTAAAAATTTATATCGAAAATTAAAAAAATTGAGTTAATACTGCCCAGAAATTTCGAAACCTAAAATTTAATTTTGTCGCGATGGAATCATTTTTTAAAAAAAATAATATATATATAAATATATATATATATATATATATATATATATATATATATATATATATTTCAAATTTCTGTGTACTTTTATATAATTTATATATAGGAAAAAATTTTTTTTGTGTTTAGAACGTTTCTGGCCACGTGATTTAAGTCTGAATCTCATTCATCGATTTATTAACAAAGAGGAAATTTTCCTAAAACCAGAGTGTGTGTTACGGAAACGTTCAAAAGCTTTTTTAACCATAAATGTGGGTTTTTTTTTATGATGGAAATCAATCCCCCACCACCAAAATAATAAAATTGGTTTGAGACATTTTATCCACTTTGTTTCGTTTATTTTTATATGTCTGCAATAGATCAAATTTTATTTGATAATAATAGAAGAAATAAGATAGATTGTATATTATAGATAGATAGATAGATAGATAAATATATAGATATGAAATGTTAAATATAGATATTTAGCCGTTTTAAATTTTGATATCTATATATATATATAATTTTTTATATATAATTTTTTATATCTATCTTTCTCCTGCTCACATCTATCTACCGGCCTAGCTATTTACATATGTATAATTATCCATTGACAAGCTTCTATTTATCAAACTATTTTTATAAAATATACAGAGAATGAGAGTGAGAAAAGTTAATAGTAGAACACTGTAAGAGCAGAATATATAGCATCTGGTACAATTACGCCTAAAGCCAACCTAAGACTCTGATATGAAGATTGAATACGACGTAAAACTGAGTTACAATGTTGTGTCGAAATAAGGTCCACCCTGTGTTTATCTATGTTGAAACTTGACTAATGCATGGAATAATAATGCAACACAAAATGTACTTAGAACAAAATGTATTGAAACAAGAAAGTGTACACAATATTTACATATAGTCTTTTGTATATTCCTGGTAAGACCGTTCCTGGAGAATGTGTTGACTGAGTCGCAGTCGGGCAGAGTCTCGGGTTGAATCTCTTGATTCCTCCCTCTCTTCCCGGTACCAACCATATTTATATGGTCGGTACTCCACTATGCAAATTAGGTGGATCCTACCACAACAAATTGTCAATTGTTCCTTCGAAAAAAATCGACATTGGCTCCAACCACGGCCTACAGACGACATTGGAATCTCATACAGCTATTCTGGATTGTCTGCTTGTTTAAATTGTTGCATACTGCTATACTTCGATTCATCTTTGGTGTTACGACGAGATTTGTTGATCTACATTATTTACATTATTCGGACTATTGTCCTCATCTTTGTCACCATATTTATTACAACGTTTCGGCCTTTCAGTATCTGTCTATATTTCTGAGATGAGGTATTATGTACACTATTTACATTATTCCGACTATTGCCGAAACGTTCTAATAAACATGGCGACAAAGATGAGGACAATAGTCCGAATAATGTAAATAGTGGAAAAACACTGTTATAGAGTAGTTTCACAGGGGAGGCTTTTATTTCACGGTCGGTCCTAAAATAGGTTTGACGTACAAAACGTTAGGAACTTGATATAATAGTTAATGACGCAGCAATCGAGTTGTGGTGGCTGATACTTTAATGTCCGACATCGACTGACTGACCAACTCACTGAGCGATATTCAGTCCCCCTCCACGAGGGCATCATGTGGCACAAGGCCGGTTTAACGTGGGATCTCCGAGCCCGTGGGCTCGGCCAAAAATATGCCCATTGAACCCGTATAAACGGGTTCAGGGTCGGTTTATCTCCCCGAAAGAGAATCCGCCCTTCGGCGTAGCCTCTTTCGGGTTCCTCCCCGCCCGAAGGCAGAGAGTTCAACCGATCAGCCGGTCGTCCGACTTCAGACTGAAATCAGACCAACTCACTGAGCTCCCTGGCGACTGCTACTGCTCCTACTTATTATAGGTGGGAGAGTCTATTAACAATAGAATAGGTGTGTTCCAGTATAAAAAAAACACATATAAGAACTTTGACAGACGTACAAGCTAAGAAAAATTTAGTTGTAAAAAACGCACTAACATAAAAAAAAATATTTCTTATTTTTATATTTAAACTTCTTTTTCCGATACTTTTTTTGTGGGCTGATTCAAATCCGCAACACCATTTCTATGAGTTGATGTATCCGCATGCCAGTTTTAAGTTTAAATTCAATGTTTCCTTTCACTTAGACGAGCTACATTCGTGAGATCACAAACTACGCTTGCCCGATGATTGATAGACGATAAGAGCACTATTGAATTAAGAACACGAGAAGCTGGGGGCCCTCATCATCAACTCTTTTTTTCTTTTCTGCAAATTCCTTTTTGGCGAAGTGGGCACTAGTCATATTGTAAAATATGAGAGTATTATATGGCTACATTTTTTTCTTCTGTTTCTTTGTTATTTACACTATTCGGATTATTATCCTCATCTTCAAAACCCATATCCACAACGTTTCGGCCGTTGTACGCTACGGCCTTCTTCAAGTACTTGGAATTTCGCACAGAACCTTTTATTTCGTTCTAGTTCCACCTGTCATGCCTCTTCCGGATGTCTCAGTTATTTCCCTTTAATTCAACTCTCCAAGTTTTTTTTTTGGTTCACCACCGCGTTATCCTGACAACTCTGGATCTTGTCTTTATCCACTTGGCTATGTATCCTTAGCTGCCCGAGGCGCGCCCTCTCATTGCACTAGAGGGAGGGATCAGTGCACGCACTGAGGCCAGCGCAAGCTTTGGTTGCGGGGACTGTGGCCAATTTTTGTCCTTGTCCCGGGCGTACGCGCTCGGGTCCCCGCCTAAAAAAGACCTTGTGTCACATCTCGTCCAAATAGGGGGAAGGAGTTAATACCGCTGTGTTCTTGAGGGCATCTGTGTATGAATTTCTGGGACTACCTCATTTCAGACATATAGACAGAGTTTCTTGGTTGTTACCTGAAAATCTTGAAAAGGTAATTCCCCAAAACTTCTATAATATAATAATAATTCTATGCATTTATCTTGACATCAATATCGATTTTGAAGAACTAAAGATGACTACCAGTAATCCTATCTTCAAAAATACCCCTTTTGTCTTTGAAGTCATTTTGGCAACTAACTTAAATCGACACAGATTCTGATAGAAGAGACGGAAAAGAAATTGCAAAGTCTCCTACAGAAGGTAACGACGGAAAGTGTGATAAAGGGACTAACTATAAGCTACAAGAAGACAGAATGAATGGTCATCAGTAAAAGGATCGGCCCGAAATGCGATATGCAGGGCGGGAACACTAGGATCAAGCAGGTGCGGAAGTTTTAATATCTAGGAAGCGTCCCGACAGAGGACGGTTAATACGACCCTGAGATCCGTAGATCAAACAAGCTGATTTAGACAAACCCTGCACCTATCTGTGGTTATACACTGCAGGGTTAAAAGCTGAAACTGAAGGTGTTATCCTTGCTGCACAGGAACAGTGCTTGTTGACTAGAAATTACCAAACACATGTACTGAAAAATAGTGTTAGCCCAAAACGTAGATTCTGTGATAAATATCCAGAAACAATTGACCATCTTGAATCATGTTGCGCGGTATTGGCACCCACTAAATATAAAACAAGGTCCTACAGAGTGAACCAATATCTGCACTGGAAAATTTGCAACTTTTACGGAAGAAAATCTCCAAAATATTGGTATGAAGTCTACCAAAACTTAATTACGGAAATAGAACATATAACCATTTTATGGGACTTTACATTACGTACATACAGAACAATCAAAGTTAATCGCCTAGGCGTCGTGATTAGAAAGACAAAATGTAGCTTCTTATTGATATGGCAGTCCTTACAGATTGCAATGTATCTTTGAAGATCTTCAAAATAAAAACTATCCGAATACAAAAACCTTGAAAGCGAAATCTCAAAAATGTGGCACATGAGAACACCAAGAAATTCCAGTTGTTATGCAAGTTGGCCTCCGAATTTGGTTTGGTTGATTGTGTTTAGCGGCATATCAACACCACTATGGGTTATTTAATGCCAAAATCTAAATATTTTGGCTGGTTTGGTTTGATTGATTTTGTTTAGCGGCATA